TTCCGGGGTCACCCGCAATACTGGTCGTCCTTACATTACTTAATGACCTATATTATTACTGCTGGCGCCTCCGGGTAGCGCCCGCACAAGTAACGTACAGCTACGTAGATAACACCCCGCAATTGAGTTGACCCGGGAAACAACAGCATTTGAGATTTATAGATAATACAGTTGACGCCCTAGCAGAGGCACTGGCACCACCCTAAATGTCATCTAAGGCTCCTAGTGATTAAACATGACTGAGTATGCTTTTCCCCCACCCTTTCCCATCCTGCCGACCAGTGCTCATGGAGAAGCAGCAAAAGACACTTGACGGAAACAAAATCACAACCGAACCATCGCGCCAAAAGATCAAACAAGTAAAGAAAAAGGAATCAAGTTAGAAAATGACAAAATATCGAATCGCACCAGGCACGGTGTATTGACAGTCCGGCCATTTATGCCATGTACGTGCTGGAGTCAACGCCACCCTCGGGGTATTCACTGTATAGATGCCATTAGTTCCCGGTGCAAAAGATGAGGGTAGAAAGGGAAGACGGGTCACGTACGGAAGAGCAACTTCGAAACGCTTCTCAATATCCTTGAGGACCTTCTCGTCCTCCTCGTTGCTGACGAACGAGATCGAGAGACCCTTGGTACCAAAACGACCGGCACGACCAACACGGTGCAGGTAAGAGTCGGCGTCCGCAGGCAAGTCGTAGTTGATAGCAAGGTTGATACGCTCAATATCGATACCACGTCCAAAGACATCAGTAGCAACACAGATACGCTTGTTGAACTCCTTGAATTCCTTGTAGCGTTTGATACTAATATGCCGTTAGCAACAGAATTGTATTGTTTACGCAACACGACAAACTTACCGCTCCTCCTGGCTCACACCAGAGTGGACCGCGATACTCGGGAAGTTACACTCGCGCAAGAGCTTGTCCAGCTCATTTGCACGGAGTGTGCTCTTGACGAAGATAATCACCTGGTTGAACTCAAGGCTATCCAGGAGTTCGTTCAGCTTCCGGTTCTTTTCCGCTTCGCTAAGCTTGATGTAGTATTGCTGCAGACCGTGGAGGGTGAGTTTGGTGTCGTCGTCCACGTAAACTTCAAGCGGGTTCCTCATGAACTTCTTGCAAACGGGTCTGATCTCCTGGGAGAGAGTGGCGCTGAACATCATAACTTGCTTGTCGGCGGGGGTAGCACGGAAGATCTCCTGAACATCGCGGCGCATGTCTAGGCAAGGGTGTGAGTCACTGAGTCTATCAATACATCGATGCTTTCACTCACCGATCTGGTCGAGCATCTTGTCACACTCGTCAAGAACAAATGCCTTAACATTACGCAGAGAAAGCTTCTTCTCGCGAACAAGGGCGTTCAGTCGACCAGGAGTACCGACGACAATGTTGGGGTATGATTCTTTGTTGGATAGCACTTCGACGTCCTTCTGAATTGGCGTACCTCCGTAGAAGACGGCAGTCTTCACGTCGGGAAGGTACTTGCTGAAACGAGCATATTCGTTCTTAATCTGGTAGGCCAACTCACGGGTGTGGCACATAACCAAGACAGAGCACTCTCCGGGGACAGGCTCCAGCTGGTGAAGGGTGGTCAAGACGAAGACGGCGGTTTTTCCGAGACCAGACTTTGCCTGGCAAAGAACATCGACATTGAGAATGGCGGTCGGAATGCAAACTTGCTGGACTATAGTGAGGCGGAACGGTATGTTAGACTTGTATTCGATCCATAAGACTTTGGAAAAAAGAAAGCAATCCGCGTCGCAAGTCCGTCCATCCCCCGAGTCGTCGAAAAAGGCAGGCAAGTGATGTCAACTTTCGTTTCAAATCAACTACTAATGAAAACACTAGTCGTGCATCTATTCAACTGCAGGATAATATCTCTGTCGAGAGTGCCCTGCAGACGGCACGAGAACGCCTGCCGTCCAAGATATGGTGGCAAAAGCGCCCTGACTTTCGAATAGCATTTTTCGCAAATCACCCATTCTTGCTGAAAACGCAATTACCTGGATGATTCGCGAATCCAGTCTCACCGTAATTCGCTGATGTATAAGCAGCGGGTAGTAACTGTTAAAGCACTACTACCACCACAGTGTCTTGTGTGTAATAACCCAAGCAAACATCCTCTTGCCGCCCTCAGGCTCGGACGAGATAGGTGGCCAAAAAGCGACTATGGACTCCCGCGGAGATGGACGGACGTTGGAACATAGAGCAATGGAGGGAGCTTGTGGGAAAGAATGTTATCAACTAACCCTCCGATGGATGTTCGAAACCGCAATCGGTGATGGCACGTAGAAGTTCTCCCTTCAGCAAAAAGTCGCGGAAACCGGTCGAGTGAATACCGACGTAGCTTCCCTTCTTGTCCGTACGGCCACCAGAAACCGTAAGGTCGCCCGTTTTGGCGGAGTCGCCATTTGCGGCGGGAGCAGCAGTGGTAGCTGCGGCATCAGTGGTCTGAAGCTCCTCATCGGAGTAGTCAATGAGATCCTCCTCGTGAGACATTTTGTCGGATAGTAACGGAACGGAAAGTGCTGAAAAAAAAACTCTAGTTGTCGCGAGGTCGCGTTCTTCCCCAAGACAGCGGAGCTGGGGGATTTACGGTATGGGTGAGTGGAGGTGGTGAAAGCTAAAACAAATACAGTGAATCAATCGTAAACACAACGTAATGCCCCTTTCCGATCCTTCTGGGATGAATTGAAAAGCGGGTCTTGGTTGAAATGTAAGGGAAAGTGATGGAGATGGAGAGAAGGTTGAGGTCGCGAGGGATGAGGCTGAGGACAGAAAGACCGCATCACGTGACGCATGTCATTAGTCACTCTTGCCTGCCAGGTTGCTATTTCAAGTTTAGCGTCCGATTGCCACTGAAAGCTTCATTATTCTTTATCTTGCTTTATCTTGCTTTATGTGTTGTTATTTCAAACAGTCTAAAGGGTTTCTCTTCTTGAATGGCGAAGGCAAAGGGGAAAAAAGGCTCGTCTGGGGGGGCTCAGAGTCACATTCGTGCACGATTAGACTATCTCCATAATGCCGCTATCTATTTACAATCTGCTAGTGTTGCCTCCAAGCAACCTAGTAGCCAGCTCGTTCAAAATGCTACCAGTCAAGATGGCGAGCCAGTGTCAGCTTCAGCACGTATTGTGCCGCATTTCTTGAGCCATGATACTACTTCTGGGCGAAAGTCAACTGGCACGGACACCAACGCAAATGCAGACCGTCTCCCGCAACTCTCCCGCGTATTTATATCGCAGATGCGTGGAATATCTCTAAAAACACAGTTGCGACTTCCAGTCGAGAAGAAAAGGTCATTTTGCAAACGCTGCGATACACTTCTGTCGCCAGGTGTCAGTTGCATACAAGAAATCAGAAACGAAAGTCGTCATTCCAAAAAGCCATGGGCCGACGTCCGGGTCATCCGTTGCACTACCTGTGGAACGGAGAAGCGTTTCCCTCAAACAGATAGGCGAACGAAGAAGCTTTCTGAGCGTCGAAAGCAAGGTGAACAGGAAAAGGAGCAAGTGCCAGCCCCATGATTTTGCTCTTTCTGTATTTCTTTGTCATATCGCAACCACGTGGAGTACCACATCAAACTGCACCAAGAAGGAATACCTTAGGGGGTATGGTATATACGTCAAACCCTATCGATTCCCGGTAACCATAATTTGTCCAATGTTGAATGGTGCCTTGAAAGGAAACAAGGCCGGACCTCATGCAACCGTTCCATTGATTAATACATGTCCGGGTTCAGAAGCAACTATCCATTCGTTTTGATCAGTTGCCACGGCAGGGCGCTAGGTGTATGAGTCGTCCAATAAAGCTAAAGGCGGGATGTGAGATGCCGCGGGCTATAGAAACTAAAGGGTGGGTTGTGGTTGTTGATCGGAAAGGCTGCGAAGAACCCTGCAGGTAATTTGCGGTTGTCGACGGAAACGCCCATGGCCCCTTCGCAGGGCTCCGAGCCTTCACGTGCAACTCTGGTCGGTCCACATGCTATCCAGGACGAAAACAGGATTCGTCGATATAGAGCAATCGGAGGTGGTTCCAGGTATTCTACAGGTGAATTTGTGAGCCTACAAATGTATAATCTCGGATAGAGAAGTGGCTTGACGCAACCGGCCTCATTCATTACATTTGTACATAAGCCACCAGTGCGGCATGGTATGATCAGCCGTGGGTTTATTCAACATGGTCATAGATCAAACGTCCACTCATAAAGACACGTAAAGAGAACAATGCATATTGGGGAATCGAGACGCCAAATAGTAGACGACAAATCCAACTTCAAAAGGTGAAAGGCGTGGTTCTCGTGACATGTAAACAGCCCGTCCAAGGAATTTAAATATAGAACAAAGAAAATGGTACCAACGAGGGAACTCCTTCGCTAAAAACACCATGTTGTTTCCTGTCGAATCTCGGTTCATGATACCTCCAAAGGTCCAAAGGTTGCCGCGAGGCAAATATCCCATCTTTAAGCAACTATCCTGTCCCAAACAAAAAAGGGGAAATAAGAAAACGAAATAAGAAGTGTAAGAAAGAAAGGGGCAGAACACAGGAGACAAAGAAAAATTCACGTCTGCGGGTTAACTGTCGCTGTAGCTGGTGAAGGGGGCAAAGAACGCTGCAATAACGGCACAGATCATAATAGCACAGGGTCCGCGAGGACAGAGTGGTATATAAACATGGAGCTTTCCTCTCCTTTTTTTTTATTTTTTGCCAAGGAAACAAATACTTCCTTCATTTCTCTTTCATGACTTAAGTTAGGTCGTGCTTGCATTTATCGTCTCGAGCGTTCGGTCATAATCATCCTAAAGCATGAAAAGCGGACAACGAGGTCGTCTGGTAGTCGGGTCGATGTCGCCAGATTCCAGTACATGAGCCTCCGGGGTGAAAGGTCGTATAAGGCAATATGTGAATGGGGTAGGTTTCAAGGTATAGAGCGGTGAACGTCATCCAAGTATATGCGGTCGGGGATCATAGTTGAAGATAGATTGTCCGCAGTGAGTATCATCGTCTCCTACGGGCGGCTTGATCGAGGCGTTGGTCAAGCCCTTCAATTCGGGCGCGGTAGGCTTTCACAATCTCCCTGATATGTCCAATCTTCGCCATCTCGGTTTCCAGCTCATCAATTGAGGCTAGAATCGAACGCGTACGAGCAATCTCGGCATCGGCATTGTGGATAACATTTCCTGCACGGTCGTAGGTGTTTTGAATAGAGAGCTGCATTTGTTCCTCCAGCTGCAGAATGTTAGAACAGGCGATAAGATGATATGCAAGGATGACCGGCTTGTGGAACATCGTCTGGACATTCCCAACCGGGAGCCGAAATCATGACATACGAAAACATGCGCAAAATGCATATGAGAGAGTTTTAGGAGACGAAAAAGGGGGGGTGCTTTATCGGGTGGGCATAATAGGAATCCAGAAGAAAATATTAACATACATAGTCGATGCGACTCCGAATCTGCCCCTGTAGCGCATCCAGCTGATGGGATAGCGCTCGCAGACTCATCGGGTCCAGCAACAATCGGCCATGACTGCTGGCAGCACTGGCCGCACGCGAACTTGAATTGCTGCTTCGACCAGTTCCTCTGCCCCTGGAAACCCCGTTGGCGGCATGGCCACCCTGAAGCGCAATCTGTTGCTGTTGTCGGAGGATCTGGATCTCGGAGGAGGTAAGGCCAAGCGAGGTGTCGGGAATCGAGGCTGTTACGGACATTTGGTCCCGGCAGAGACATGCTCTTACCGCGACAAGAGTCTAGGAAGCGCCGGTCGTTCTCGATGTGTGGAGATGGGATGGACCGAATTTCATGATGGTTGGCCGGAGCGAATGTCAGGAGGAATTAGGACGGAGAGTGGGAAGGAGAGTAAGGGACTGAATCGGCTTCGCTCGATGATTCGTTCTTCTCTCCTGCTCGCTCTCGCACTCACGCACTCACCCCTCTGGAAGTAACTCAAGAAAAATCGCCTCCTCACCAACAGACCTAAGTTGTCATTGGGGGAAATTAGAGGGGAGGAGACCGAAGAGGAGGGGAAACGAAAGAGGGATGATGGTGGGAGACGAAGGCCGATTGAGGAAACGGATTATCGGCGGCAAGAAAAAGAAAAACGACCGCAGCGGCTCTCCTCGTGAATCGGTCGCAGGTTACACACTGACGGACGCCCGGGGACGATAGGAATTGGTCTACCTTGGAGAAACTAGCACGAACACTGGTGAAGCTAAGAGTGTGATTAGAAATGCTTCGGAGAGTTGAAGAGACGGAGGTGGGAGGGGGAGGACTGTATGTAGCAAGTATATATTGTATGGCCGGAGAGTACCTGAGGCAGACCCTGGGAGTACACAACAAACGGCCAGAAGCCACGCCCCAGAAGAGAACGAGAGAAATAAATATACTGGAAAATGATGCCCAAAATGATCCAATGTTGAATATGACCGATTTCTAGATCTTGTCCCTTTCTTTGACACCCGGTATGAGTTATTCTGGTGATATAGATCGGAGTTTGGTGTACATTATATAGAACGGAATTCGAAGAAAGACTTAAATCACGATTGAATACTGTCGCACAAGGGCTGAAACCATGATTTAGAATTTTTGTAATATATTGATTTAACTATCTCACCTACGAGAGTGAAAAAAAAGGGGGGAATAAGGAAAAAGAAGCATACCAGTGTACGGTCACTGAGGAATTTACCTTTACAGAAGAAATCCACTACTAACGATGGTTCCGCCTTCCGACGTCCTCCAACCATTCATTCAGCTCCCTCTCCTCCGCAAACCAACAACAGCTCCCACCTCCAAGCAATTATCCTATACGAATCGCCTCTCTCCGAGACTCAGAGGTTCCCCTCCTCTCTTTACCGCGATCTCACCCCAGAACGTCCCCAACAAACCCGGCAACCCATGGTGCCAATAGCGCAATCAGCCAACCGCCTCTGCAAACGCCAATCGATCAATCACCGTCGCCTCTGATCGCCAGAACCGAAACGAACTCCGTACCTAAACCCGCTGCCCAACCCGTGAGGCTAGAGCCCTGCGACTGCTGTCTTTGATCCGTGATTGGATTGGTAGATCCGCGACCGGCACAGGTCTAGTCCTGCGACTCTTGTCTTTCACCTATCGTGCTGGATACCTCATCGGCTGGTGAGTTCTCCCCTCCCTCGTCAGCTCCACCGTGGTTCGCTACCGCTGTTTCTGTCGTTCCCCGGAGCTGTGCCACCTCGAATCCTTTCCTTTGCCAAGAAAACGAGGAACTATGAGAGCTTACATTACATGTCTGACAAAGGTGGAGCTTCAATAGTTCGATAAAATTAATGTCCTATTCACGCGCCTAGTCCACCGCGATCTATTTGTTCCATCTCATCACAATTAAAAAAGAGAATTCTAATAACATAAAAAAGCTTCACGAAAATGCCCAAGGAACGCAGTTTCAACCCGGTACAAGCGCAGCGGAAAGCAGACAAACAGAAAAGCTTGAAAAAAGCCAAATCTGAGGCGCAGGCTCGCCAGAATGAGAAACTCGCCCGTCGCAACCCCGAGCGCATCCAGCGACAGATCAATGACCTCAAAGCGGTAGAAGAGTCCGGCCAACAACTACGGCCGCGTGATAAGGAGGTCTTGGAGGCGTTGGAGCGGGATTTACGTGCTGTGCAGAAGGCCCGGGAAGCACTAGGTGACAAGGCACCGAAATTCGATAATTATCAGTCGAGGCGGGGTGGCTTTGGTGGCAGAGGTCGCGGTGACGGTGTATTAGGGAAGAGGAGGAGGGATGACCGCAGCCAATTCGGACAGGATAGTGAGAGTAGTGAGACGGATGAGGAAGTTCGGCGAATTCCTATGCCGCGGGATACGCCACCGCCAGTTCCTCGCCAGTATCAAAAGAGGAGAGAGGGGGATGCAGATGCAGATGCAGGTCCTCGGGGACCACATGGTTTGCCAGCGAAACCACCTGTGGTTGAATCCCGAACTGTTTATGAAGCGAAGCCAGAGATCAAGGATCTGCGACAAGAGGCGGTTAAGAAATTTGTTCCAGCTGCTGTTAGGGTTAAACAGGAGGCCATTCGAGGGCAAGGAAAGCTACTGGAGCCGGAAGAATGGATCGACTGGAGAAAGCGGGTTACAATGCTGGTCCTTCGGAAGCTGTGGAAAGAGTGAGCTCTGACCAACCTGATGATGACGCTCAACAGCGGCTAGTTGAAGAGGAGAAACGATTCAACCAGGAACTCAGATCCGTACAGATCGAGGACGTTGAAGATGAGGATGCATGAGATGTATGACAGTGTATAATAATGATATCCAGTACTTCACGATGTTCAACTGATACCGGAAAATAGTAGGCTCTATCGCGGACCTAGCACATTTGGAAAAAATAATCTGAGTTAGGTATTCCGCTCTGTGGCAGAGCTCCTCAAAAGAGATAACAAAATCTGTATGTACACACAACCCTTCCCATGAATACGCCTTTAATCCCAGCAAGCCTTCAGGCAATGTGCCACCCCTCAAACACCTAGAAAGTAGAGACAAAAGGAAAATGATGTACAGTCCCAAAAGAGTGGCAGAAGTTGGCATGTCTCTGAGGACTGTGAAGCTGTCTAAGAACAAGAATCCAAGTCTTCGAGATGAGTGCAAGAGATCTCCAGACCCAAGGGCACCAAATCAATGCGGAAACCAAAAGCCGGCTGGCGAATGCAAATATCTGTACAGTATCCCAAATAATAGGAAAGAAAACCAAAGAAACAAGGACATCACGGCGTAAACGACAAAGGAAAGAATGGATCGGTTGGAGAGTAGTGTGCGCGATAAGATGCACCAGGAGAAATGCACGAAGGCCTTAATTTTCTGCACGGTCAAGTTCGTGCCTCAGAATGCACATGATCCAACCATAACTCCAGAAGTGTTGCAAGTATTAAAGCGTATAAGAACCGAGAGGTGTCTTATGTAGATGCGGATGTTTTCACGGATCAACCTGCGAAAACCAAAATCGACTAATTTCGAAGAGTGGAATGTTGCCTTTGGGGCCCAAGAAGCCAAACAAGTAGCGGTGGGCTTTACCGCAAGTTACGAATAACCTTACGACCGCGCGCAAGGAAGGGGCTCGGCATTTCGTCCTTTTCAGGGTCCCACACTGCTGGCGGATCGCGATCTGAAGATTTGAGGCCAGAAGAGCAATTCGAAGTGCGGGAGTCACTAGCACATCGCTTGAGATCTTCAACAGGGCGGCCACCAGCCCGGGCTTGGGCAAGTTCGACCAGTGTTCTACCGCCCATATTGCGCTGCATGACGGCTTTGAACATCTCCTCTCCACCACCGTTAACCTTCGTAGGATGCTGTTTTAAGCCAGACTTGCGAGTCGGCGATCCTGCATCAGCAGCCAAGTTTGCCGATGATGGGATTTTCGACAGACGTCGGTGGGGAGATCTGGCTTTGGGCTCTCCGTGACGGACGTCTGATTGACCGGACCCTGATGCTTGCGGTAGCCTTGAAGGGTTGCTGGGGAAAAGTGGAGGTTGCGTGCTCAGTTTCTGCATTAGTGCGGCTGTGTTCTGGCGAAGGAGGGGGCGAGACGGAGCCTTAAAAGGGTCGGGCTTGACTTTAGGTCTAGTAGGTGAAGGCAGATCAGGGGTGTCGTCTTCGTCATCGGAGTACGCTAGAGTAGGCTCCCATTTGGCCCGCTGTCTCTCTGCTTCTGCGAAGATGTTCTTACCAGAAGACGTGGCAGAGGTACGACGGGGGGACAAGGAAAGTGATGCGATTGAAATGGGAGATGGCTCGGCCATCTGAACATCGACGGGCGACTCAACGACTGTCTTTGAACGATTGAAAGGAGTGCGAGTCTCTCGTCTTAACGGCTTGTTCGCTGGTGACTCCATTGACAACTGACTGATATCAGTGGTGGAAGGAAGGTCCGTGTCGTCTGCATTATTGGTAGACGACCGAGGGCCGTAAGCGCTTGAGCGTAGGCCAGCATCATCTCTGACGTTGTGGCTTTTCTTCTGTTTCTCTAGTTCAATCGCCACCCTATCTTGAACTTCAGTCTCAAACCTCTTACGAAGTCTGTCAAGTTCGTTCTGCACCTGACGGTCGATTTCTAGTCTGGCTTTTACCTCCCATTCCCGGCGCAGGGAGCTTTCAATGTCGGATTTCATCTGCTGCCTCTCTTTTTCGAGTTTTGCAAAGGTCTGCTCGACTTCCTTGGCTTTCTGCAGGGCTGATTCTTCACGCTTTCGCAGTTTGCTACTAAGGTCAACAACTTCTTTCTCCTTCCTCATCAGGCGGATGATAGGAAGGTTGATCAAAGCGGTAGTGTCGGGGCGGTGGTCTGGGTTTACTCGTAAACAACTAGCAATGACATTCTTCAGCTCAGGAGAGTAGAATTCAGGCAGCGGAGCGAATTTGCCTTCGCGGATTCGTTGGACAAGTTGAATATGTGTCCTCGCGTTGAAAGGTGGCTCTCTCTGGCAAAGTTCGTACATGATGCAGCCGACAGCCCAAATATCTGAACGCAAGGTATATTTCTCCGCAGCGCATATCTCGGGGGACATGTAAAATGGAGTGCCGACATATGTTGATGCGAAATCATGAGAATTCATCAGTTTAGAAAGGCCAAAATCTCCTAGCTTGACCGTGTTGTCATGTCCCAGGAAAATGTTTTCCGGTTTCAAATCGCGGTGCAGGATTGTCATCTGTGCCTGCTTCCCCTTGAGGCCTGAGGGCTTGGGTGCAGGTCCTAGAATGTTGGACCCTACATCCGCCGGGTCTGCACCATAATGGCAACGGTACAGCGCAGTGACCAATTGAGAAAGTATACGCCAAACAAATTCTTCTTCCGCGTACTTGTTCGTCTTCTTCAGGTTCTTGATAACCATGCTGAGATCGCCGCCGCCGCAGTATTCCATGTAAAGATACAAATCTTGGCTCGCTTTTAGGTGTTCACGGTGGTAGTAAGCGACGATGTTCGGGTGTCGAAGAGAGCTCAAAATATTAAATTCGGCCGTAAGCTGCTCGCGTTCTTTTTGGGACATTTTGATGTAGTTGATCTCCTTGCGGCACAGGATCTGCAGATCGCGTTTGTAAGTAGTTGTACAACGTAGAAGAGGGGTTTGGTGAGCCTACAAAGCCATCTGTCTTCCTCCTGACTTTGCGAATAATGCCGAAGGAACCACAACCTGAGCACAGTCAGATATTTCGCGGGGCCAAGCATCAGACATAGAGATATATGTATGCCTTACCAATCTTCTCCAGCACCTCATACTTGTCTGCTTCTGCCAATGCGATTGCCATTGTGGCTACTGAGTAGATTATGCCACTGACAAGCACGTAAGGGTAAAGGGAAAGGTCGAATAGGAGAATTGAAAGACGATGGATGAGTGATCAGCTCATTCATGAGTTGGTCCTATTTCGTGGAACCTGTTTGGTTAGTAGACAACGAGGTCGGCTCTGGACATGCAGTAAAATTGGTAGATTTAAAGAAGTAAGTCTTCATGCAACGGGACGGAGGCCATGAATGTTTAGTTGAAGCACTGTTGCTGAGCAACGGCGTGCGCAAGCGATCCTTGCTTCATATAGTAGGCGGTGACATGAGGGCGGTGAGGAGTCATGTCATCATCACCACCGTCATTGTTGGTTGAGTGTGTAAATATTTCCATCTTGCTGTAAGATCTGTCACTTATGCAACCGCAGGCACGCCTCTGTGTATGGTGCATCTAGTATGCTGCACATGAATCTATTGTCCTTTCACACTGATTCCTGGCGTTGTATTCTGCAAGGACTAGAAGCGGATAGACCCCCCTTTGAAGGGCTTCTCCTTTTCCTATGTGGCGATCAGATGCCCCACGTGATCCCCTCTTATCGATAAGATGATGGCATCGCCAACCGATACAGTCCCTCTCTCGGCAACATTATCGAATATCTCCAGACACCATCGGCATAAGACTCACTCGCAATGTCTGAACCGACTGTGCTTCGCAAGGATCAATTAGAGATCAGTTTACACAATGAAAAGAAACTGATCAAGGAGGGAACCATCAAGGACGATAACCCTCTCGATCTTAGTGAGCCGTTTCGGGAGCTTTGCACTGCTTGTCGTAAGGGGGATCTCAAAGTTTGTCAAGAGAAGATCACAGAAGGAGTCAATATTAATGCTCGCGACCCCTATGATTACACCCCCTTGATCTTGGTAAGTGATCTTGACTTCCATAGGACCACCCTGGCAACCTTGTCGAATTAGGCAAGTCTTGGGTGATGGAAAGCCGATAGTTCATTGCTAAGAACCGTGCAGGCAAGTCTCTGTGGCCATTACGAGGTTGCCCAATTGCTTCTCGAGTCCGGTGCATTATGCGAGCGGGATACATTCCAAGGGGAAAGGTATGGCCGGTCTAGTTGCCATCCAACTTTCCAAGTACCGCTGACAAGCGCGCTTTATGTAGATGTCTATACAATGCTCTGAACGACCGCATTCGGAATTTGTTGCTTGAATATGACTATTCTAAATCGACTGATCCCCTTCAACCCCTTGCAGCTCACATCTCCTCCCTCCTCACCCGGGACCAGCCTGGGACGTCTGATATCGTTGTGAGTGCCGAGGATGAGCCTCTGTACTTACATAAATTCATACTCTCTGCGCGATCACCTTACTTCCGGAGGAAGCTGGCAGCTTCCCCTGATACCGCAACATGGAACCTCCCCAGCACTATACCACCACAGGCTTTTGCCGCAGCGATCAGATATCTATACTTCGGGGAAGCACCCCGTGAATTAAGAAGCGGACCTGGCACGGGTTTCACTGAATCGGAAGTCTTTGCTGGCATCGATAGGATTGCCAGTCACTTGGAGATAGACACTCTTGTGGACAGCATTCTTGACAGTGGTGATAGGAGACTAGCCAGGCAGAGGAGGACTACGGAACTTACAAAGGGGAGAGACCAATTAGAGGAATGGTTCCGCAACAATGTTCTACAAAATAAGTTGGTAGTCGAAACGATCAAGGCAGAGGACATCAAATGGGATCGCAACAATTCCATATATGCAGATGTCTTGCTCCAAGCTGATGAACTGCCGGAGGATACGGATGAGCATATCAACGGTATCCTGCAGCCAGGAGGCGTTGCCAATGCTGGCTCAAAAGAGCAAACCCGGAAGTCGGTCCTCTTTCCCTGCCATCGGGCAATGCTTTTGAGGTCTGAATTCTTCCATACCATGTTCTCGTCACCATTCCGTGAAGCGCATCTAAAAGATCATTTACACATCATCAATGTCGACTGCTCCCCGG